GAATTGGGTCCCTTGTGTGTTTTATGACTTTATCGACAGGATAAATGTAGGCATATATCTCTGCTTGTTACAATTGTGTCAAATACTTAGACAGACTGAAAATTATCTTGTTTTAAAAGTATACTTGCAAAAAAATTGGCAGAACTATTAATAGAATCCTTTGGAAGAAAACTTCCTATTAATCATGATTTTAATTTTGGCTGCTTTTTCCAAATTTTATTTTAACCTGCCTCTATACCATTACAAATCATTTATTACTTGTAATACACTAATAGCAGATGTTTGCATTAAACATTGTTGCTTATATAAAATAAATGTAGTTTACATCAGTATTCCTAAAAAAATGTGCATTAACATGGTCTTATAAAAGTATTGCAGAGATTTACCAATTCAGGCCCCACATTTACTCAGTTTCTTTGCCATTTTGGAGGATACGAGGGGAAAAGTCCAGCATTCTCTCCACTCTGAGTAAAGGAGTGAATACAATTTTGCAAGGCTGCATTAAAAATAGTATTGGCAAATTGAATCATATATCTTATGTCATAAAAAAGAACAACTACAAAAAGTAAGGAATGTAGAAGTCATTTATGTGCAGTAGCAATTAATATCACTAAAGGGTACACACTATATGTTTCCTCTGTCTTTTTAAACTCTAATACACAATGATTTCTGCAATACAAACAATATACTGTCTTTTTTTCCACTCCATACTGGTTTACTTCTTTTTGAGTAGGGACATCCGCCAGTTGAGCAGCAGACAGTGAATATTCTGTTTCCTTTGGTTCAAGCCATTGTAAGATGTATATACAATATTGTGTTACATCCATGTACCAGGTGTGCCATTCTCAGATCCTCCAGCTGGATAATTCATAGAGTGTCATTTTCTCTTGAGTCTCACACATGAATTGGGAGCATTGCTTCTGTAGTAAAGCACCAGCTAAAAGAAGCTGAGATGAAACAGGAGCAATCTAGAGCTCTGATTTTAAAAAGACAAACTTTTTCAAAACAGATTTTACCTTAAGTATTTTCCTTTTCCTTTCAGGATTGTTACTTTTATCTTCATTTGTCCCTTTATAATTTATAAAGCCCTAATAATATCTTGGTAAATGATTTGTGCTTTCTCCACAACATTCTGACATTTTCTTCATAGCTCTTCGTCTGAAGTCTACCTTCCCTCTTTCCTTCCTTATAGCTGTATACTCATAAGCCTTCAGCTTGCTGTAATAGTCTGAGAATTTGTTGTAGAGGATAGAAATGGGCATCCCATTCAGAATTATTCCAAAAGCAATGCAGAGGAAAGCGAACAGGCGGCCGAGGTGAGTTTCTGGACACATGTCTCCATATCCCACTGTAGAGATGCTGACCTATAAGTAAATCAGAATTCTTTTTAGCATCAAAAGAAAGGTGTAGGAATATCTTCCTTTAACCTATCCACCTTTGTACAGGGAATGGAGATTTTCAGCACAGGTATTTAAGGCATATTTTACACTTTATTGCATTACAGACTTGTGTAATTAGATATTGGCTATCCAGTTTACTGTCTAGCTTCTAAAAAATTCCAGATTGTGAAAAATCCCCTCAGATAATTAATTACAATATTAATCAGGCATAAGTCAGGAAGGTCTCCTGTTTTTAATGGGTGCTGCAGGAAGAATTTGATCTAGCTACATCCTTCCAGGAAAGTACTGTTTGGTTGATCTTAGGAAGTGGATGCATATTAAGGGTGTGTGAAGCAGGACATACTTGATTTGGATTCTGCCTGAATCGGCGACAGTGATTTGATTAGTTGATTCGTATCACTATCCCTGATTCAGTTCGGCTGAATCCGAATCTGAAGATTTGATGCTGATTTGGCGAATCAGCAATTTGGACATGGACACAGCTTTAAATGTTTTCTCTACATATCTCAAGGTACAAGCATGCCTTGTGAACGCTGCGATGCTGGGGCAGATGGAGCGTCCCACAGGAGCGTGGAGGGGCCCTCCACGTGCTCGGCAGCAAACTGAGAAGTGGACTGGAAGAATTTCCAGTCCACTGGGTCTGCCAGGGAGCGCGCTGGGAGGCCCCCTGTGCCCCGTCCCCGCCTGCCTCGGCAATCCGCCACAGGGGAACCCCGGGTGCCCCCCCAGATGCAGAAGGCACCAGTCACTGAGCTGGGGGGAGCACGTGATCCCTGGCAGACCCAGAAGTGGACCAGAAGTGCTTCTGGTCCAATTCTGGATCTGCTGCCAAGCGTGCTGGGGAGCCCTCTGCACTTCTGTGGGACACTCCATGTGCCCCAGCATTGCAGCATTCATGAGCCACCTGCCAACTAGAGGTACGTAGAAAAAACATTTCATGTGTCTATGTCCAGGTAGCTGAATCTTTCTGTATTGATCTGGAGAGATTAAAGGGTCCTCTGATTTGATTCAGATTTAGAGATTTGGCCATCAAATCAGGTCGAATCTCTGCTGAATCAAATCAGGGACTGAAACTTTGCACAGCCCTAATGCATATCCCTGATAGCACACATCCACTGACCCTATTGCCCCATACAAGTAGCTGGAGTGATAGCGGAACTGACGTCATGCTACATCTCTGTGTCTTCACTGCATTTTGGATTGGCCTCTGTTTCCACTTCAGTGTACTTTCCCACAGTAGTGGCTAATAACTTGAGCATTGTGGGGAGAGGCTGTGAAGTGAATTTCTCCTTTTCCTCTGTGCTGTGTCTGAGTGGTAAGTGTGGCTTAAGCGAAGATATGAGACACAAAAAGCACCATCTAATAGTGAAATACATTGTCACATTTGTACTTTGAGAATAAATGGCCCATCAGATCAGATTTCATTTCTTAAAAAGGAAATGACTCTAAGAAAATATGTAATAGATTCTTTTACACTATTCAAAACTTTTGCTGAAGGGTATGGTCCTGAAATGTTTTAATGGTGATTATTATCTTTTCTGTTCAGCTGTCTGATGTATTATAGGCACAGGGGAGTGCAGTCTATATAGCACTTCCCTGAGTATTTTAGCTTGTGTATTTTGGTATCTGGGAAATCTTTTGATACCAGAATTCAGCTTAACCTTTAGCCTTTTTAATCGTATCAGTTTTAAAGCTTTTTTTTTTTTTGTTTGGGAAATAATTAAGTTGCAGGCATCACAATAGCATGTGAAAATGTGAATGCTGCCATCATTTTATCAATCACCTGGAGGAAGAAGGGATGATATCCAGTAGACAATGTGGGTTTCTTAAAAAAAAGTCATACCAGACCAAGGTTTTGTAGCGTTGAAGCAATTTTGTAGCCACAATGGTTCTGGAAGTATGCAAGAAGCAAAGACTTTTGTGGGTGACACTTTTTATTGGACCAACTTTTGAATGCAATGCATTCTTCTTCTGATGTGTTTTCTTTTTTTGAAAGGGTGACTAGTTTTGTGGATGAAGGTAATGCTGAAGATATACGTGGACTCTAATAAATCCTTAGACATAGTCCCACATGACATTCTCATAAGTAAATTGGAGAAATTTGTGCTAGATAGAATTACTGCTAGGTGGAAATATAATTGGCTGAATAACTGCAAGCAAAGAGTATGCAGATTAATGTCAAAGTGGTAGGTTTCAAATAGGCCCTCCATAGGTATCTGTTCTAAGTCTAATGCTGTTTAACATTTTTATTAATTCCTTGAATGCAGTAATAGAGCGTGTCCTGATCAAATATGCAGAGGACAGAAAACTTGGAGAGGGACTACAAACTTTTTTTTTTGGGGGGGGGAGAGGATAAGTTCAAATTCAAAAGGCTCTTGTTTAACTAGAGAACTAGATTATAGAATTGCCAAATGAAATTTAAATAAAGACCAATTTTAGTGCTGCCTATATTAAAGAAAGTGACAAATACAGAATGGGGGATTAGGTAGTAGCATTACTGAAAACGATCTGTGGGTTTTAGTGGATCACAAACTCAAGAAATCTGCATGGGGTGCTGTCACAAGAAAGCAAATGTAATACAGGTTGTATTAATAGAGACACTGTATGCAAGACATGGAAAGGGATAATACCACTTTACTCAATGCTAGTTAGGCCTCAGCTGGAGTATTAGTGTGCCATTCTGAGCTCCTGATTTTAAGAAGAATTAAAAGAAACTAAAAAGGATCCAGAAGTGAGAGACAAAAAATGATAAAGGGGCTTGAATACAGATTATATGAGGAAGAGCTGAGATAAACTAGGTATGTTTCATTCAGAGAAAAGGAGATTAAGGGGAGACATGATAACCATTTTAAAATGTTTGGAAGGCTGCCATAAAGAAGAGTGAAGACAACTGTCCCCTTGGCCCTGAGGGTAGGACACAAAACAATGAGTTTAAAACTTCAGCAAAGCTGCTTTAGATTAAATCTCAGAAAGAACTTCCTAACTGAAGAACAGTAGAACAGCAGAGCAGGCTGCCTTGGGGAAGTTGTGGAACTTCCTTCATTGGAAGTTTTTGAAAAAAGGCTGGCTATATATGTGTTTAGTATGGTTTATGTATGGGGCATCTTACATTTGTACAGGGGTTTGGACTAGATGACCTTGGGATTCGTTCCAACGTTATATTTCTAAAAAATGTTCTGAGTCATTAATGAATGTATCTTTTCATCCACATTTTTGTCTTGCCATAATACAGTAATGAGAGTAGTGTTAAATGCTGTCTTTTACCCTGACACAGAAGACTTCAACAATTAAAAAAAAAAAAAGTCATGCTGAGTTCTTGCTGTCCAAATACTTGGCTCTATGGATAGTAAAGATGCATGACACACTCCAACCAGTTGAATACCAACGAGTCTATTTCTGCTATGCATGTTTTCCTTCTTTAAATTAAGTTTTGTTAATATACACTATTTTTTCTGTATTTGGAGTTGATTTTCTATGGCAAGAACAATTTGTAATTCTCTGCAGCTTGGCACTCTCTATTCTGCTTTTATGTGATTTTTATTTAATGAATCATTCACAGGTCAAGGAATTTATTTCATTCTTTCACTGCACTGTAAGACAGTCTCTGCGGGTTTGTGTAGAGGTCTAATAATTGTACACACTACCAGAAATAAACAGAACACAGGAAGATGTAACCCCAGCACAGTGTTCCTGTCATTCTAGTGCTAGAGTAATTTTGAAAAGGTCACTGGGTACAGTAAACTATCCTCTCTTATTTCAGATAGAATATTATATCATTTGAATGAAGCAGAAGGATACATGAGACTGCCCTGGATAAATACATTTCTAGGATACACCTGGTCCTTCATGCAGCCTAAAGGGATTAGTCATTTGGTTTAATGGAAATTAAGTTACTGGATTTGAATGTTAATACAGGATAAATATCTCCAAAAATAAATACTGAGATGAAAGCAAGATGTTTATCTGCAGTAGCCAGTACAAGATCATTATCTGTGATAAGGTCCTATTCCACTGACATTCACTTTTAGATTGCACAGGAGAATTCAGGGAGAATAATTAATTTTTGTGTACAACCAAGAATAGCACCATACTATTTAAAGTGGTGTGGTTTATTGTTTACTATATTGTGTTGGTTTAAAAAAGAACCAGACCTAAAGCAACCAACCATCCTGAATTTTCTGGGCTATACATCTACATTACAGGGTTGTGTCCTAATGTCCTTGAGGGCTGCTTGAAATGGGACCTTAATTTAAAAAAATTAGTCCCAGGTCAATCCAGACAGTGTCCTCCATTGAAAGGTAAAACTAATTTGTAGAGGTGCACCACTATATCATCCATATTGGATTGGCCCAGATAGAAGTAAAATTGACATTATTGGCAATCAGCTTTTTTTGGCCCGTGTAGCTGATAATGTCACGATAAATGCTGTGCATGCACACAGTTGTAGCATGCACGCACAACTTCTTTATATTGAATTCAACCCTTCCTACTTTCATGAATACGGGTTTGACACAGCAGAAAGGACTGCAGTAGTGGACCCTAAGTAGTTTTAGTCGTTCAGAGCATTGCTATGCTTTGGCTGGTTTTAGCCAGCCTAGGGCTTCCTGATGGTTGCTGTGGACTGAAGTAGCCCTGAGGCTACAGTGGCTGGAATTGGAATAAGCCTGGCCGTAGCAGAGCCTTTGCAACTGTCTTCCCAGAACAGCTCCCAGCAAATACTGTGTGCAGCCAAGAACGGGATCCTTTGTTTCCTCGTTCAGCACCTGCAATGTCTGTCATTACCATGACTGACTGCTGCTTCTTCCTCCAGGGAGACAACTCAGCATGCACCATGCTGCAACATCACAGCTCTCAGAGGATAATGAGAGAGCTGTCATTTTATAGCAATTTTGTTCTGCTGGCCAATTCTTGAAGGGAAGATCTCTTCTTCTCTAATACTCACCATATTATTCCTCAAACATTTAATCATGAAAATGAGAAGAATGTGATCCAGGCCCACAGGTCCTATCTGGGAACTACCACAGGAGGCCAAATGAAAATGAGGCTGTTTTTAAATTATTTTTATTTATGTTTCATTTTTCTTCTGAAAGTTATATTTGTGTAGTCAAGCATTGGAACAGGCTACCTAAACAAGTTGTGGGCTCTTCCTCCCTGGAAGTTTTCAAGAGCAGGTTAGACAGGCACTTGGCTGGGATAGTTTAGTCAGGGATGATCCTGCCTTGAGCAGGGGCCTGGACTAGATGACCTCAGGAGGTCCTTTTCACCCCTACTTCCTATGATCCTATGACTATTTGTTAGTTTTAACTTTTCCAGTAATTAAAAAGCAAACCATAAAGTGATGTGCACTATGATTAAAAGAAATGCACAACACATCTGATTTAATTACAATCCAACACCAAAGGGATTTTAAGGTAGCTATGCATAACTGACATGCATAGCTGACAGTGCTCCTCAGATCTCATCCAGAAAGCCAAAATCTCACAATGAGCAGGCAGGTAAGCACTCATGTCTGCAGGACCTATGAGAGGCAGGTGGTAGGAATGGATTTTGTGTTGTACAAGGCCACCAAGCCCAGGGAAAGCCCCCAAATCAGGTTCCTCTCTATTTCTTATTTTCAGAATAGAAAGGGTGGAGCGCCCCCTGCTCCTGCAGCCAGGATATTGTCGGTCTCCAAAATGAGAAGGGTGGAGGTCCCCCAACCACGATGTACTGGGCCACCAAATTTCTCTCACAGGCTCTGCGTATCTGCTCAGTCCTTGGCCTCCGCTGAGACTGTCAAGAATCCTTCCTGTAATGACTGTGCAATATGAACCTATGTTCACTCAAAATGGGACTGGGACTAGCTATTTTTCTAAATGGCCTACAAAAGACCACAGTGGTTACAACCTTCAGTCTTCTGACCGAGGTTGGATTTAAACCCATGACCTACATATAAAAGGCTTTCTGTCCCTTACGAATCCCTTCAGCTCTCTCGTCCCCTACCTTATGCATTTTTTGGTCCACTATTGGTATAGTCTAAATAACAACAAAATGCCATTTTGTGTGCGTTGCAGAGACGCTACCAACCTGAAAAAATTAATGGAGGACAATTGCTTGCTATAAAACATTTTTTTAGGGCCAAGCATCTCAAGCCATTTTGACTTCCAAAAACTTTGTGAGGGTTTAAATTTTGAGAGGCGTAATCAGAAAAAAACCTTCTATTATTCTGGCTACGTGCTTGTCAGGCAATTGCTTACAAACTGTCCTCAGAGGGACAAATTCCAGTGGAATGTACTGGTCACAAAATATTAGCAGCATCCTGCTAACTGATACATATACCTTCTGGCAGTGCTGAGAGTGGAAATACAGTGGTATGCTTCCCCTCCCATCCACCAGTCCCCCTGTCTTGGTCTTTAGTGGGCAACTGTGTGTGTGGTATAGCCACAGAAACCCAGCCTATTTCAGCACTGCTTATACACTGAAGCACTTGCACCAGATTTAAGCTTTCAGGAGAGGTGAGCGTGTGCCTGTAAACGCCGACGTCTGAGCTGATGTTCAGAAATCTGCGCCTGCCCTGCTTGATCTCAGACCAGGCAATGATTCTTGCAAGGGAGGGGAGGTGATGGGTGGCTAGATACATGGGAAGGCACAAGGTAGTTACTTACGGCAGCCCACCACCATGCATGGGGGATGCTGGTGAAGTTGGTGCTGGAGACATCATGTTCCACACTGTAGACCATGGCAGAGAAGGCAAAGATGCCCATGGCGATGAAGAGCAAGAGGCAGCCCACCTGCTGGTAGCACTGACGCAGGGTGAAGCCAAAGGCGCGTAGCCCAGTGGAGTGGCGGGCCAGCTTGAGGATGCGGAAGATCCTCATCAGGCGCATGATGCGCAGCACTTGCCCCACCTTGCCCACCCGCCCCACCTTCTCGATATCATAATCATGCAGGGAGCCCTGGCCTCTGGGCTGGTCGTCATCAGTAAAGCACTCCAGCAGCATCTGGAGGTAGAGGGGCAGGATGGCAATGAGGTCCACAACATTGAGTGCACTGCTGGCAAAGCGGCGCAGGTTGGGGGTAGAGACCAGCCGCAGCACATACTCCAGTGTGAAGAAAGCAATGCAGAGGGTCTCGACGTGTTCTAACAAAGGGCGAGTCTCTCCACTTTTCCTGTCCACCTGCTGCATCTCCTCTACTGTGTTGAGAGCCAGTGCCACCACAGAGATGAGGACAAAGAAGCTGGAAGCCACCCCCATAACCTTGGCAGTGACAGAGGAGAATGGCTTCTCCATGAGGTTCCAGAGGCGCCAGCGCTGAGGGCCACAGTAACGCATGTGGCGGAAGAGCTGCTCATTTTCCTGAGCCTCGGCCTGGGCGCGCAGTTCCCTCTGCACCTTCAGCTGCTCACTCAGTTCATCACGCCGCTCCTCGAAGCAGATGCGGCAGCACCGTGGGGTGTATTTGAGCCGCACACCCCAATAGCTCAACTCCTCCAGGTAGCTGCGAGGACACAGCTCATCCCTCACCCGCAGCACGCCGGAGGCATAGAAGTTGTATATCAGTTGGAAGACAGCTGGGTCCCTGTCAAAGAAGTACTCGTCTGCCTGGGCAGCATAGTCATCACACAGACCCAGCTGGCAACGGCGGTTAGTGGAAGTGGCCAAGCGGCCCAGACGGGTCTTGGGGTAGAGGGCCACTATCTGGTAAGGGAGGTGGTAACTTTGGCCACCTACATTTACTTTCAGTACAGAAGAAATAGGAAGAGGAGAGTCTGTTCCAGAGGGAGAGTCAGGGGGCAAGGGAAATGAAGAGAGCACCTCCTCAAATGTTTCTATATGTTGAAACTTTTGTTCATCTTCTACCTCTTTGAATTCTTCCTCCTCCTCCTCATCATCCACATAATAGTTGTAGTTCCCCTCAGGACCCAGAAGTAATGTGGGCTGAGAGCCTGATTTAGCTCTGGTCTGCTTGTCTGAGGATAGCCTTTCTTCATCTTCTTCCTTGGCAGACTCCAGGGATACATCATTTGTTGCTGATCTCTCCTTTAATATATAACTTTGGAACGGGTACTGTCTTCTTTGGTTAAACTTCAGCATGATAGTTCTCCCTCCTTCCTTTGCATCCACTAATGAAAGAACTAATGCCAAAACCTACCTCCACTCTCGCCACTGAGATGGGTGCTGCTGTTTTCTTTCCTTCAGAAGCATCAAGCACAGCAGCAGTTTCACATTACTCTTCCTTCAAGCCACCACCTCCAGTCATTGTTAAAGCTCGTTCTGGGATACAGACACATGGGGACTGCTGCTGACCGCCTTAATCTTGCTGACAGGGAAGATCTGAGTGCTTAGAGAAAGGGATTTAAAGGTTATTATCCTGTTTCAGCCCCCAGCTCTCTGTCTGTGACGTGAATGATTATAGATCCATAAGTCTATGGATAATCAGTAGGAAAATGCTAAATTTTATTGCTAATAAAAATGTATATTGCCCTAACCCAGATTTGTATGGGCTTAATATATTCTGAACCTGAAACAAAGGTGTGTTTGTGGGCAAAAAGAAAATACTGGAAATAGACCTATGAACTTCCTTCACTTCCCACAATAAAAATAATTCACCATTAATACCTTAACCTTTATTTGGTGATGCATAGTCATAGCTCTTAAAGTGCTTTATAAAGGTGAGTATAATAATCTCCATTTTACCTGGCACAAATG